TGCCATTCAGGTCATGCGATTGGCTAAGCAATTTCCTTTTCTGGATTTCTAGTCCAAAGATGAGAACTTCCTTCTTGTCTTGATTTAAAAGCAAAAAGTTTAGAGTCATCCAATTTTTTATGTCCTCAAGACAAGCCTGTAATCTACCTAACCGATTAGGTTCATCAGAGTTAATTGATAAATATAGCTGAGTTTCGTCAGCATAACAGTGGAAGTTTATCCCATGCTGTCTAATGATTTTACCAATTGGGAGCATATATATAGTAAAAAGAATTGGTCCAAGCACTGAACCCTGTGGTACTCCGCAAGTAACCCTGGAGTATGAAGAAGATTTGTCATGTACATTTACAAAATGAAATCTGTCAGACAGGTAGGATTTAAACCAGCCTAACGCTGTTCCTTTGATCCCTACAACATGTTCAAGTCTTTCTAAAAGAACATTGTGATCAACTGTGTCAAAGGCAGCACTGAGATCTAACAAGACTAGAACAGACACAAGATTCTTATCTGAGGCCATGAGAATATCATTTGTAACTCTCACTAATGCAGTTTCAGTGCTGTGATACTCTCTAAAACCAGACTGAAATTCCTCAAACAGAGCATTAGTGTTTAAATGCTGACATACTTGGATGGCCACTACTTTCTCCAGGACTTTGGATAAAAATGGAAGGTTAGATATTGGTCTATAATTCATTGGGTCATGTGGATCCAGAGAAGGCTTCTTAAGTAAAGGTTTGATTACAGCAACCTTAAAATCTTGTGGTACATGCCCATTTACTAAGGATAGATTGATTATATCTAGAATGGGGGCAGTAACCAATGGAAATGCATCTTTAAATAATTTGGTTGGGATTGGGTCCAAAATGCAAGTTGAAGGTTTAGATGAAGCTAATATTTTTGATAACTCTTAAAGCTCAACTGGATCAAAACGGTTCAAGCACAGATGAGGTTCTACAGTCACCTCTGATGCTGCCTCACTTACTGAGGAAGAAGAAATCGCATTAGGGAGGATGCTAAAGATTTTGTTTGTAATAGAATTAATTTTACTTGTAAAAAATCCCATGAAGTCATTGCTGCTGAGGGCTAAGGGAATAGATGGCTCAGAGCTATGATTCTGTGTAAGTTTAGCAACTGTACTGAAAAGAAATTTAGGATTATGCTTATTCTCCTCAATTAATGCTGAGAAATAAGCAGTCCTAGTTTGTTGAAGCTTATTTTTATAAAGCGCAAGACCATTTTTCCAGGATAGGTAGGCCTCCTCATGGTACGTAGAGCGCCATGTTCTCTCCAATTTCCTAGAGTTTTGTTTTAAGGCTCGTAAATGAGAGTTAAACCAGGGAGCCAACTTCCTGTCCCTAATTACCTTCTTTTTTAAAGGGGCAACATCATCTAATGCCACACGTAAAGAGGCATTAACATGATGAACTAAGGCATCAATTTGTGAGGGGCTAGAAATGAAAATATTGCCCTCTGCTACGTTCCTCTGAGATGCTGAAGATAGTAAAGACGGAACAGTTGATTTAAAAGATGCAACTGCGTCGTCAGATAGAGACCGACTATAGTGAAATTTACTTTCATGTCTCGAGAACTCAGTTATAAAAAACTCATAAGTTATCAAAAAGTGGTCCGAGAGGACTGGATTATGTGGAAAGGTCGTTATTTCCTCACACTCTATGCCATAATTCAGCCCAAGGTCCAATGTATGATGGCAGGAGTGGGTGGAGCTATGTATTATTTGGGTAAAACCAGTTGAGTCCAGGATATTACTAAAGGCTACCAGTGCTGGGCAAGTTACTTCAAAACTGTAATTCATTATTTATTACTTGTTACCCTCATTTTAAAGTAATTCATTACATTACAATATTACTGATTTTAAAATGTATGGCATTACACTACTTTTGCATTATTTTAAGTTACTTTCACCAGAACAACTTCAGTATGAATCTGGTCATGTGACGCTCAGTGAGCTCATGACATATATGTGGAAGGTGATGTGGTGTCTGAGCTAGGATTGCTGTTAAAAACAGTCAGATATAATAACAGTGCTTTAAAATGATTGTTTATTAAATAAAAGCAACAACAATCTGTACTCTCAGCACGCTGCCATCTTATATTAACTGAGCAGGGAGTGAGGTGGTGGGGGCTCCAAGCCTATATTTGCCTTGGTCCCCAAATGCCTTGATACGGCCCTGGTTGTGGGACTGACTTCTGGGGTGATCTGATTCTATCACATGTATAAATATTAAATGCTTATATATTATTGCTTTTCACTGGAAAAAATGTGTATTGGGGATAAATCTACCTACTTTTTTCTTTTTTTTTTTCTTGGTTTTATTTGAATAATTTCCGGCCCTTTCTCTCTCTAACCTTCCTGCATCATGCATGTTTTCTCCCTTTTCCAGAAAAAAACTGTTTCCTAGACTTCCTACTTTCTAACGATCAGCCAAAGGGATCTTCACATGCGCGGCGCTCCAGCAGTAATGAGTTGAAATCACCGGGGCACAGATTATGAACTCAGCTGAGGCAAAGCACGTCAGAAAAGCACAAAATACCAGAGAATATGCGCTGATATGAACGATCGCAAGTGAATTATTTTGTTTTGGTGGAGCGATTTTGTGAATGTTGCAGCGGCCGCGTGCAGGACGCAGCTGGAGTAGTTGAGCCGTTACCGCTGCGTCCTCTCTGCCTGCAAAGCTGAGTCCATAAATGACGTAATATATGCAGATACTGGATCTTTCTTCGGGTTTCCCGCAATTTGAATTTTTAAGGAACACATCTTGATTCTGGGTTTAAAAATGCATTGTAATTACCGTGTTACTGACAATTGTACCGAGTAAATATTAACCTTTTTCTTTCCCTGTAATGCCTTACGTTACCACTTTACAGCAAAAAGCAATGCATTACAGTAATTAATTACTTTTGTACCGCATTACTCCCAACACTGAAGGCTACATTGAGGCTATCATTTTCAATGTCCACATGAATGTTAAAATCCCCCACTACAATGACCTTATCAGTATTTAGCACCAAATAAGATAAAAAATCAGAGATCTGCTCCAAAACTCAGAGTAAGGGCCTGGTGGACGATATAAAACTACAAACAAGAGTGGTTTTACAGTTTTGCAATCTGGATTAGGAAAATGAACTTGCTAAGCTGAGTTCCATTCTGTCCCGCTCTGAACTTGAGACAGTTGTCCACACCTTCATCTCCTCACGCTTAGACTACTGTAACTCTCTTTTCACGTGTCTGAGCAGAACCTCCCTGAACCGTCTACAGGTGGTTCAGAACGCCTGTGCTCGGCTTCTGACCAAGTCCTCCAAACACACCCACATCACCCCGCTTCTCCTCCAGCTTCACTGGCTGCCAGTCAACTCCAGGGTTCATTTCAAGATCCTGGTTCTGGTCTATAGGGCCTTACATGGACAAGCACCATCTTACATTGGTGATCCTCTTAGTCCCTACACCCCCAGCAGGTCCCTGAGGTCCAGTGACCAAAGCCTACTGGTGGTGCAGCACTAGGCTAAAGGTCAAAGGTGACAGATCATCTGCTGCTGTGGCCCCCAGACTCTGGACCTCTCTCCCCCTGAGCCTGAGATCAGTGGACTCAGTGGTCTCCTTTAAAAAGCAGCTGAAGACTCACTTGTTCAAGCTGGCTTTTGTATGACCTTCTTCACCTCTCTCTCTTTATTCTGCTCTCCCCACCTATTCCACCTTCCTCAGGATCCACTGGTTTCCCTCTTTCCTGTTCACTCTCTCTCTTTCTTAACATTTTTTATCACAATTACCTATTTTTGCTCATTTTAAATATATTTTTAAACATTTTCTAAATGATTTTTTATATTTTTACATTTTTTGTTTTTGTGAAGCGTCTCGTGATTTTTATCTTGAGAGGCGCTATAGAAATGATACTTTCGTCTTCTTCTTCAACTAAGAATAAGATGTTCAAACGAACTGTAACTATTAATCTGTAAGGGACTGATTAATAAGTCTGAATGAAAAATGGTTGCTACTCCTCCTCCTCGCCCTGTACTTCGAGCAATATGATTTAAATAATTTGAAGAAGTCGACTCGTTTAAGCTAACATAGTCCTCTTGCTGCAGCCAGGATTCTGTGAGAGAGAGCAAAGAGATCTGATTATCACAAATCAACTCATTAACTAACAAAGTCTTAGAAAAAATGGATCTAATGTTCAACAACCCACGTTTAATTTTTCTAATTTTCTGCTCAGTTGAATTTGTTCTAATATTTATGAGATTTCCATGATTTGCTTTATTAAGCCTGATATTTAATCTGTGTGATTTTTGCCACACAGATTAAATATCAGGCATGCATGGTGAGAACATGCAACTCCACTCAGAAAGATTGCAGCCAAGTTTCAAACCTTCAACCTTCTTGCTGTGAGACAACAGTGCTAAAAACTGTGCCACCATGCAGCCCAAACTTTAAAGTCAACAAAGCTGTAGAATTTTTATGCATTTTTCTGTAATATAACTTATGGCGCTTACACATTAGCATCGGCACGGTCAGGGTTTGGTGGGACTGGATGGGGTGAGTGCTGCCTGGAACGGGCGGTGTAGTGTTCACATATAAATCCGAGGGACTTCTCAGGGATGCGGAAATCCCTGAGCCTGTGGGCTGCATTTAATAGTCCAGTGGGAAAGTCTGGCAGGAGCCCCCCCACCCCCACCCCCACCCCGCTTGCTGATTCCACTCACAGATTGGAGGCTGTAGGCGTAATTTCAGCTGGCCAATCAGTCCCTAGTGTCACCCCGGTCCCAGTCTGACTGCTGGGGAGGAGGTCTGAAAAATAAAGAGTCACCTCGGAACCGAAAACACAAATCTGACCTGTGTGTAAAACCAAATTCTGGTCTCGGAAGGGACTATAAGGGACCAAACTGGTGCTAATGTGTAAGAGCCTTGACTCTTGTGATCTCATGACAGTGGAGCCTATACAGAAGTAATGATTAACTCATAGATAACAACAGAGTTGTGTTTCCAGGTCCCAGTCATATGATTGAAGCAGATGTAATCATGAGAGGGCGTGATCCTAAGGAGCCAATCATGGCTCATCCCCCAGACTCTGATAGTGACATCACACTAAGGGAGTGGCTGGAGCAGGTGAAGGTGACCAACAAGGGGCTGAAACTGGACTTTAAGAGGTGAGACAGGTTGATGTTTCTCCTTAGTCTCATGTGATCTTGTGTGATGATGTACCTGTGGTGTGATCCCAAACAGCCTGGAGGCGGTACCTCCATCCCTGACTCTGCTGAAGGAAGTCCTGGCCGAGCCAAGTTGTCCTGTGTGGATCAATGCAGACATTTTAAGTGGTCCGGGTGGGAAGGCCAGACCTCTGGAGCCTCAGGCTTTCCTCTCAGCTGTGTCGGGACTTCCCGGCCACATAGTGCTGTCTCTTGGCTGGACCACAGGATGGACTGCTGCAACAGAAAACCCAGGTGAAGATGCTTTAGTGCAGCCTGCTGCATCTACATAATCTCCCTCTGAAGTGACTGCAACAAAAATAAAAAAAACATGTTTATCGATTATTGTGTCAGTGGAACTGTTGTGAGATTATCCCATGTCCATAAGGGGCTTCCGTACCGAACGGGAACGTGGAGAGACAGAGAGGCAGGGCATATATGGTTGGAGGGTTGTTCTGTGTGGTTAACTAATAATATAATCAACAACTAACGTAACAGTTTTGCTGAGTTTCATGACAGGAACCAAATCTGGAGTAGGTGTAGCAGGTGTTATACCTGTTGCTCTTAAAGGTGTTTAAATGTTAAAAGATGAGGTTCACTGTAATGCACGTTCTTTTTGAAGTATCAGTCAGTCAGAGTTGCACATGCATGTGTAGTGAATTCAGCCAGGGTTTGCCACCTTTGAATCAGCCGATGAGTATGTTGTGAAGAAAAGTTCCCTGAGGCAGACTCTTTGGCATCAGAAACTTTATTAATGAGTCCACATCAGTACAGGTTTGATGCGTCAGGAACCAGGAGGACTTCAGCCAAATGAATTCCCCCGAACAACACCCAAATGCTCCTTTTTATTGACTTGGGGAACACATTACCACTCCTGTGGAAGGAGAGGATTGTTGGGTAATGTTTTCAATCCAAGATTACCTTGTGGAAAATTCAAAGCACAGGGGGTTATAGTAATCAATCGATCAACACCAATACCAATCATAAACAATCAATTTAGACTTTGCAAAGTGGAGAGGATAAGAATACACACCAAACAACGGGTCTTAGTTCACTCTCATCAGACTGACGTCCTCCGAAAGCTTTTATTAAGCACACACACAAAGATTAACGTGCACACATTTTGCCGTTCCTTAGACTTTCAGGCGGGAAAGCAGTAAAAGGAGACTAAACTTTCTCCAGGTGCACCCTAAATCAACAAAGCCGTTGCTAGACTTTCTCAAGGGAGTTTTACTGATAAAGGTTCGGTGCCAAGGCAAGGTCATCCTCCTAAAACCTACTCCTCCCTGTAAGACCTGCAGGAGCCTGGTATCTATCAACAGAGTAAAATAAAAGGATGAAGCTACGTTTAAAAAGACACCAGATGTTTAACAGTCGACATTAATATCAGTTCAATAATGTTAGTATCAGTTTTTACTTAACAGGGATAGCATCCACCCAGGTTGGACAAACCAATCCATACCTTTACTATATTAATTTTAAATAGCCTAAGGCTCTTTGTTCTAAAAAATGCAAGCTTTCTGCACACAGAGAAATGCTTACGTGGACCAGAGTAAATCCTCTGACCACGTATAGTAACCAAGATCTGCTGCTGCAGTATTTTCTTTAGATACCACACATGCTATATGTGAAAATGTTCTTCAACCCCCATCACCTGCATTAGCCTCAGAAAAGTCATAGATGGAGAAATGTTCTGGGCAGAAAAATGCCACAGGGAAAACTACCATCCATGGCTCACCCCACTTTGACTTGCGATCGTGAAAAGTCCCATTAATTCATCACACACTGGTGAAATTCATCTCCGCATTTGACCCATCCCCTTGGGGAGTGGTGAACTGCAGCAGTGACTGTGCTCCGAACTATTTGTGGTCTAACCCCCCAATCCAACCCCTTAAAGCTGAGTGTCAAGCAGGGAGGCATTGGGTCCCATTATTAAAGTCTTTAGTATGACCCGACCGGGATGTGAACCCCGACCTCTCAGTCCCAGGGTGGACACTCTACCACTAGGCCACTGAGAAGCTAGAGAATTGTAGCTTTAAGTTGGATTACTGTTCTAAATGAACTTTTGCACCATATTCTCATTTTTGCAGCTGTACACCTGTTTAAGGGTACATTTACAACTGACAGTTGTGCTTTTATGTTTCTTTTATGTTTTCAGGTTATGACTGGAACATGGTGCATGTGATGGAGAGGATCTGCAGAGATCTTAAACATCCAGTCACCTTCCCAGTTCGAGCTGCTCTGCTGGCCCAGTCTTTTCCACAGCTCTCGTGGCTGCTGCAGCAGTCTGACAGGTGAGGTTGGTTAACCATGCTTCTGTTTGCTCTGTCCCTGTGTCCTCACACTTCACTCACATTAACTTATCTTATAGAAGCTCTGAGGTTGTAGGAGTCAAGCTATGACACAATATTGTAAGCCATGGACCAGGAGTGGTGAATCCTGGTCTCCCGATAGTCTCTATCCTGTATGGTATTTCCCTGCTTCAACACTCCTGATTCAGTAGTTGAATCACCTGTTCGTTCTGCAGAGTCCTGTTAATCACCTTTAGGTGTGCTAAAGCAAGGAAACAACTAAAACATGCAGGATAGAAGCCAGGGGTGGACTGGGATAAAAATTCAGCCCTGTCATTTCTACGCCCTTATGGCTGTCAGAGCGTGGGGTAGGGCAGGCACGCAGAAAATTTTAATGACCTGACAAACAACGGAAACACAGTGCCGCAGCCTGTTGAATCCCTTGACGAAGGAGTGGAGGTGGTGGTGATCTAGCACAATGGACCAGACCACACTGGGTAAGCAGCCCACTGAGATGATGTCTGGATTTCCTGGTGGCTAGTTCACCCCTGATAGCAGCCCTCGGGGACCAGCATTGGGTACCTCTGGAGTAAAAGGACCTTGGAAGGAGTTGGGAACTCTTGTCCTTGATGCCCTCCAGGACCAGGATTGGGCACTCCTGTTTTACACCAGTGGGATAAAGCAAATCATGGAAAACTCATAAATATTAGAACAAATTCAACTGAGCAGAAAACTAGAAAAATTAAATGTGGGTTGTTGAACATTAGATCCATTTTTTCTGACTTTGTTAGTTAATGACTTGATTTGTGATCATCAGATCTCTTTGTTCTCTCAGAATCCTGGCTGCAGCAAGAGGACTATGTTAGCTTAAAACAGTCGACTACTTCAAATTATTTAAATCATCATATTGCTCGAAGTACAGGGCGAGGAGGAGGAGTAGCAACCATTTTTCATTCAGACTTATTAATCTGTCCCTTACCAATTAATAGCTACAGTTCGTTTGAACATCTTATTCTTAGTTTTCCTAATCCAGATAGCAAAACTGTAAAACCACTCTTGTTTGTAGTTTTATATCGTCCACCAGGCCCTTACTCAGAGTTTTTGGATCAGATCTCTGATTTTTTATCTGATTTGGTGCTAAATACTGATAAGGTCATTATAGTGGGGGATTTCAACATTCATGTGGACATTGAAAATGATAGCCTCAATGTAGCCTTTAGTAATATCTTAGACTCAACTGGTTTTACCCAAAGAATACATAGCTCCACCCACTCCTGCCATCATACATTAGACCATGTGCTGACTTATGGCATAGAGTGTGAGGAAATAACAATCTTTCCACATAATCCCGTCCTCTCGGACCACTTTCTGATAACCTTTGAGTTTTTTATAACTGAGTTCTCGAGACATGAAAGTAAATTTCATTATAGTCGGTCTCTATCTGACGACGCAGTTGCGTCTTTTAAATCAACTGTTCCATCTTTACTGTCCTCAGCATCTCAGAGGAACGTAACAGAGGGCAATATTTTCAGTTCTAGCCCCTCACAAATTGATGCCTTAGTTCATCATGTTAATTCCTCTTTACGTGTGGCATTAGATGATGTTGCCCATTTAAAAAAGAAGGTAATTAGGGACAGGAAGTTGGCTCCCTGGTTTAACTCTCATCTACGAGCCTTAAAACAAAACTCTAGGAAATTGGAGAGAACATGGCGCTCTACGCACCATGAGGAGGCCTACCTATCCTGGAAAAATAGTCTTGTGCTTTATAAAAATAAGCTTCAACAAACTAGAACTGCTTATTTTTCAGCATTAATTGAGGAGAATAAGCATAATCCTACATTTCTTTTCAGTACAGTTGCTAAACTTACACAGAATCATAGCTCTGAGCCATCTATTCCCTTAGCCCTCAGCAGCAATGACTTCATGGGATTTTGTACAAGTAAAATTAATTCTATTAGAAACAAAATCTTTAGCATCCTCCCTAATGCGATTTCTTCTTCCTCAGTAAGTGAGGCAGCATCAGAGGTGACTGTAGAACCTCATCTGTGCTTGAACCGTTTTGATCCAGTTGAGCTTTCAGAGTTATCAAAAATATTAGCTTCATCTAAACCTTCAACTTGCATTTTGGACCCAATCCCAACCAAATTATTTAAAGATGCATTTCCATTGGTTACTGCCCCCATTCTAGATATAATCAATCCATCCTTAGTAAATGGGTATGTACCACAAGATTTTAAGGTTGCTGTAATCAAACCTTCACTTAAGAAGCCTTCTCTGGATCCAGATGACCCAATGAATTATAGACCAATATCTAACCTTCCATTTTTATCCAAAGTCCTGGAGAAAATAGTGGCCATCCAAGTATGTGAGCATTTAAACACTAATGCTCTGTTTGAGGAATTTCATTCTGGTTTTAGAGAGTATCACAGCACTGAAACTGCATTAGTGAGAGTTACAAATGATATTCTCATGGACTCAGATAAGAATCTTGTGTCTGTTCTAGTCTTGTTAGATCTCAGTGCTGCCTTTGACACAGTTGATCACAATGTTCTTTTAGAAAGACTTGAACATGTTGTAGGGATCAAAGGAACAGCGTTAGGCTGGTTTAAATCCTACCTGTCTGATAGATTTAATTTTGTAAATGTACATGACAAATCGTCTTCATACTCCAGGGTTACTTGTGGAGTACCACAGGGTTCAGTGCTTGGACCAATTCTTTTTACTATATATATGCTCCCAATTGGTAAAATCATTAGACAGCATGGGATAAACTTCCACTGTTATGCTGACGATACTCAGTTATATTTATCCATTAACCCTGATGAACCTAATCGGTTGGGTAGATTACAGGCTTGTCTTGAGGACATAAAAAATTGGATGACTCTAAACTTTTTGCTTTTAAATCAAGACAAGACGGAAATTCTCATCTTTGGACCAGAAATCCAGAGAAGGACATTGCTTAGCCCAGGGATTCACAAAGTGTGATGCGCGCACCCCTGGGGGTGCGCGAGCTGCCGCTAGAGGGTGTGCGAGGTGAAAAGTGTAATGGCTGCGGAGCTCAGAGAAGTCTGTCATATGTCACCATTAGAGTAGCCAGAAACTCATTTGTGGGTGGGCCTAAGAAAAAGTAAGTGGGCCCAATAAATGTAATTGAAAACAAGTATATTTTTGCACATGTGTCCTCCGCATGTGCCCTAGCTTCATAATAACAATGCGCCGAGCTTCAGCACTCTGGCCTGCGCACGCAGATATGTTCCGTATTTGATCATTTTTAACGGTGTTGGAGGAATCTGAAGGTGGTGAGTCATTCTAGCAGATTGTAATTAACACCTGTCTCATGCAGGTGTTCTGACGTTGTAAACCTCACACACAGAACATTGTGGATGTAACAAAATAAATCAAGAAATGATTCCCATTCAGGCTATTGACAGCGCGCTGACGATCTGAAGTTCAGAGTGCGTCTGTCAGAGGTCAGACGCGTTCCAGCGGAACCACGGCTCACGGGTGCACAAGTGAGCACATCTGGGCTGGGCAGAAGTCATTTTACAAGGTTGGTTTAAATAGCGCCGATAACGAGACACGGTGACTTGAGCAGCTCATGGAGCTGTGCCGCGCGCGCACACACACACACACACACACGCACACACACACACAGATTCGATAAGCGCGCACGCTGTGCAAACTCCGGCGCGCCGTCAAACTGAAGACAGAAATGAGCGCTGCCTCCTCTGTGATAAAAACTTTTAAGAGGTTTTATAACATTTTTCATTCAAGGTCAAATTAAGATATTAGCTTCTATTTTGGGATGACGTATTAAAGTCGGGTCCGCTCCAGCCAGTGACTCCGAACCTGACCACATCTCACGTTACTGCAGCATTTGTTATTCCAGTCCGCGTGGCAGCAGATCGCAGATTCAGCCACACCATAAAACAGCAATAAGTCGGTCTGAGGCAAAATATCTTTTCCATCTTTTCCCCTATAGACATTTGATTACGCACAAGTAAGTGATCAGCTCAGGTTTATGCAGAGCAGAAGGAAGGAGAGCGCTCTGGTTAAACGTTCCTACTTTAAGAAAACCATTAAATTGCATTGTTTATGTGCTACCTGGGCACTCTAAATATTTATTTAAAATTAAATCAAAGGAAATTGTAATGATATCGAATGATTTTTAATTACTATTTAAAAAATGAAAGTGATGGGGAAAAAGGTTGATCATATTTTTTTCAACCCTACTGTTTAGCTTGACGTCTGATGCCCTGATGTGGGGGCTGGGGGGTGCGTTGACATGGTCGGGACATAGAAGGGGGTGCGCGGCTAAATAAGTTTGGGAACCACTGGCTTAGTCAATCGCCTGACCTGAATGGCATTACAATTATCTCCGAGAACAAAGTAAGGAACCTTGGTGTTATCTTTGACCAGGACATGTCATTCAAATCCCAGGTTAAACAGGTTTGTAGGATTTCCTTTTTCCACCTTCGGAATATTGCTAAGATTAGAAGCATCCTTTCCAGGAGTGATGCTGAAAAACTAGTTCATGCATTTATTACATCAAGACTGGATTACTGTAATCCATTACTCTCAGGAAGTCCACAGAATGTAGTTAAAAGTCTTCAGCTTGTCCAAAATGCTGCAGCTAGAGTTCTGATGAGAATTAAAAAGAGAGATCATATCTCTCCTGTCTTAGCTTCCCTACATTGGCTACCTGTTAAATTCAGAATAGATTTTAAGATCCTTCTTCTCACATATAAAGCTCTTAATAATCAAGGTCCATCATACATCAGTGATCTGATTGTTCCATACGTTCCTAACCGAGCACTTCGCTCTCAGACTGCAGGTTTACTGGTGGTTCCCAGAATATCTGAAATTAGGATGGGAGGCAGATCTTTTAGTTATCAGGCTCCTCTCCTGTGGAACCAGCTCCCAGCCTTAGTCCGTGAGGCAGACACCTTGTCTACTTTTAAGAATAGGCTTAAAACATTTTTATTTGATAGGGCCTATGGTTAAAATCTGATGTTAGCCTAAATCAGGACAAGTGGGGGAGTAGAGGGAGGTGGAGTGTACAGTCGGTAAAGACTGCTCTCCCTTGCCCTGACTCCAACATGCCTACGTCTAAATAGGATAGATTATCCAGAGTTATCTCTGTAGTTATGCTGCTATAGGCTTAGACTGCTGGAGGACACACTGACCACTTCTCACACTCTACTGCTTTCTTCTACAATCTGCTCTTTAACTGTATTATTTCCTGCTATTTCAGCTGTTAACTTTATTTTCTCTCTTAAGTGTTTTTCTCCCCAGAAGAAGCTACAACGATGTTCTGCTGAGCTGTGGTGGCCTCATGGAGGGGGCCATCGTCTAGCACACTGCTGCTAAACATTCTCCCTCTCTTGATAATAACTTTTTACTCTCTTTGACATTGGATGTGCTACTACTAGTTTACCCGTTTAATTATAGATCCACTAGGATAAATACAATAAAGTTTATCTCTCACCAAATAGAATATTTACTAAGACATCACAATATAACTATAGACACATTACTTTGTCTTGTGTGTGTGTGTGTGTGTGTGTGTGTGTGTGTGTGTGTGTGTGTGTGTGTGTGTGTGTGTGTGTGTGTGTGTGTGTGTGTGTGTGTGTGTCTGCTCTGTCTTCTCCATCCCCAGTGAGTCGTGGAGGATGGCTGCTTATACTGAGCCAGGATTCTCTGGAGGTTTCTTCCTGTTAAAACAGAGTTTTCCTCTCCACTGTCGCTATATGCTTGCTTAGTATGAGGATTGCTGTAAAGTCACTGACACTGACACAACGAGCACACGGCAGAGGAAAAGTGCGAGCGCGGCAGCCTCTCTGCGCGCTCGGTTTCTGACTCCGCTCGCTCGGCTGTTAAGGGGTTTTGGCACTCTGGAGGCGTGGCCTGTGGCAGATTGTTGACGCAGCCATTTGAAGACAGGGAAGACAGGAGAACCGACGGACAGCTACCATTGACAGAGGAACGAACAAACACCATGCAGGCACCATTCAGTGGGGACTGGTCACAACCGTAGCAGCACCTCGCCCTTTTAGTAGCACATGCACATTGATCACAGCTGTAAAAGCACAACCAATCAACATAATTTAACACCCCCACTTGCTCTTATACAGTGAACTCCTTCTCCACTATGACAATTGACATTCACATTCCAAACAAATATTTCCCGAACCTATCCATCTTGGCCTTTGTTGCAGGCTTTGTTAAAACATCTGCAACCATGTCTGTTGTTGGACAATACTGTAGCGTTATGAATATTATAATTGTCTGCCCTTAACAGCTGCCCCTTCACACAGTAACATCGCCAAGGTCAGGAGCTGGTTTCAGTATGTTTACATTCCAGAAGAGACAGAAGAAGAGAAGAAGAACGCTTTCCATTAATTAATCAAAGTACTTTATTCGTGATAAAGCTAATCAGAGCATATGTTGATCATTAATAATCAGGTGAATGATCTGTGAAATAAAGATGTCATGAGTTATGTGTTTAATGAATAAACAGGACTGCACCAGACAGACTGATCTACATTACCATGGAAACGCATGACACATTATTCTCAACCAATCAGAACTTTCGTCTGTCGGAGAGAGAATCTGGGTCGTTTACTTAAGTTGTCCAATCCGGTTTATTAAGATCAATAGTTATCTTTCCATCATTCAGCATAGATCTAATGAAGTGGTACTTTATGTCTATGTGTTTACTTCTCTGTCGACAGACTGGATTCTTAGACAAAGCAATAGCACCTTGATTATCTCCAAAGATTTTTACAGGCACTTAACACTCATCAGTCAACCCTTTTAGCAGTTGTAAAAGATATAAACTCTCCTGTACTGTGGCAGCTAGAGCTATATATTCTGCTTCACAAGTTGATAACGCAACACTTTGCTGTTTCTTGGTCCTCCATGAGATAGAGCCACTTTTATTTAAGCTAAAACAATAACCTGTAGTGCTGCATCTGTCAGTGCGATCTGAAGCCCAATCTGCATCACTATAAGCTTCAAGTTCAAGCTTTCCTTCACTTTTTGTATAGCACAGCTCTTGATTTATTGTCCCTTTTAGGTATCTTAACACATGCTTTGCGGCTGTTAAGTGTTGCTCTTTTGGTTTAGACAGATACTGGGAAAGTTTACTAACAATCCAACATATGTCAGGCCTTGTACAAGTCATTACGTAGATCAAACTACCGACCATTTCACGATACCTTCTTGCATCAATGGAGTCACCTTCATCATCAAAATGCATCTTTTGTTCACACGGAGTAGATCTAGCTTTACAGTCAGACATACCAAATCTTTCCAATATTTTTGTTATGAATCTCATTTGGTTCATCTTTATCTCTCCTTTCTGTGTAAAATCAACACCCAAGAACGTTTTTAAATAATGATAATGAGATCAATGAGTTCCTTGAAAGGATAACACTTCCTAAATTATCAGACAGCCAAGTTACAGTCCTGGACTCGCCACTAACATCAGCGGAGCTCCAGGAAGCCCTTAAATCCATGACTAATAGGAAAGCTCCAGGTCCAGACGGGTTCCCAGTAGAATTCTACAAAGAATTCTGGATCATTCTGGCTCCAACATTTTTCAGAATGGTGAGGGAAATCGAAGAGAGCGGCAGATTACAGCCAAACCTGAATTCAGCCAATATTAGTCTCTTGTTAAAACCAGGCAAAGACCCTGCATTTCCTACCAGCTATCGCCCAATTTCTCTTATTAATGTTGATCTCAAAATAATTTGTAAAGCCCTGGCCAAAAGATTAGAGAAGGTAACCCCCTTCATAATACACCCTGACCAAACTGGTTTCATTAAGGGTAGACAATCATCCACAAACTCACGTAGATTACTTAATTTGATGGATTTCTCTTACAGTAGAAACATAGAAACTAGTATATTATCTCTAGATGCAGAAAAAGCTTTTGATAGAGTAAACTGGAAGTTCTTTTTTGCAACTTTACATAAATTTGGCTTTGGGAACTTCTTCATAAACTGGCTACAAACATTATACAGTTCACCAACAGCACGTGTCAGGACGAACGACCAAATATCAGCTAGCTTCTGTCTTCAGAGGGGGACCAGGCAGGGATGCCCACTCTCCCCCTCACTATTTGCTATCTTTATCGAACCACTAGCAGCAGCAATTAGGGAAACAACAGATATTAAAGGGATAAAGTGTAAGAAAATAGAACAAGATCAGTCTTTATGCAGATGATGTTTTACTGTTTCTCCAGAATTCTCAATCCTCTCTCTCCCATTCAATAGAACTGATTAACTCTTTTTCAAGAGTTTCAGATTACTCTATAAACTGGTTAAAATCCACAGTTCTACCAATTAATTTCTCTTTTGTCAATTTGCTTAATACACAATTGGAGTCAGGGAATATCACATACCTGGGAATTAATGTCTCTCCCAAGTTAGCAGATCTAACCAAACTAAACTACATCCCACTTTTAAGGAAAGTGGAAGATGATCTTGCAAGATGGAAATCCTTACCAATATCACTCATGGGGAGGGTTGCTACAATTAAAATGATGGTCTTACCCAGAATAAATTACTTATTCTCGATGATCCCAAACAAACCTCCAGCTGACTGGTTTAGATCTCTGGACTCCTCAATTACTAAATTCCTTTGGCAGGATAAACCTCCACGAATTAGCTTAAAAACGCTTCAGAAGACCAAAGACAGAGGAGGACTGGATCTACCCAACTTTTATTATTATTTCTTAGCCAACAGGCTGCAATATATACCAAGATGGTTGCAAGATCACCCACTAGATGAGTCCTGGTTAGATATAGAACAGACACTTTGCAATACGATAGAGCTTTCAGACTTACCATTTATTAGCTCAAGCATAAGGAAACATGAAAGCTTCAAAAGTATTAGTATCAGCACCTCTCTGACAGCATGGTGGGAGTATCTAAAAATGACAGTCTTCACTAGTACCATGCAGACGCACACATATCTGGAATAATCCTGACATTTTGCAAAACAACAAAATGATGAACCTTCCGGACTGGAAAAATAAAGGAATCCTATACCTGGAACACATATATGAAGGATTGGACTTCATCCCATTTAATAGAATAGTCTCCCAATTTGGAATGGATAAGAATAGCTTTTTAGAATATCACCAAATTAAATCTGTAGTCAAACAAAAATTTAAGCTCAATAAAATAGAATTACAAACACCACCAAGGGTATTAGACTTCTATAATCTCAAACCCCCCAAACTACTGTCTAAAGTATATAAGACACTGTCCAAAATAGACGATAGAATAGTAATCCCTATTGAGAAATGGGAGGTGGATCTATCAGTCAGCTTTGACCAGGACTTCTGGTCCCAAACTTGTTTAAAAACTTTTAAAATGATCAGACACCCCAATTTACAATTAATTCAGTACAAAATTCTACACAGAGTACACTATACAGGTCATCGGATGTTCAGGATGGGGTTTGTGTCGTCTGACACCTGTACACACTGCACAAACAAAGTTCCTGACAATTACATTCATGCACTGTGGTCCTGTCCAGGAATTTTGGGGTAGAGTGTGTGAAGACCTGTCAAAATGTCTGAAATGTCATATCCCAACCACCCCCTCTCTTTGTTTACTGGGAAACCTGGACGATGTCCCGATTGAAACATCTTTGGTTCACGTGGTTCTGACTGCCATATGCATCGCTAAGAAAACTATCCTCTTGAATTGGAAAAATAGAGAAACTCTCTGCATTAACCAGTATAGAAATCTTTTGTTAGATCATATTACACTTGATATAGCCTCTGCTTCCACTTCAGATGAATCTCTCTGGGCTCCTTTGATCGGTTCCATCACATAGCGAGGGTGGGGGGCCGTTGATGTTGTCCTATGGGATGGTGTGGGTGGGGGTGTGTGGGGTCTGAGTTTGGAGTATCCGGATGTTCCCTGGAGGTGGGTTCACTGGGGGTGTCTGGGACTGGGGGGCCGTTGCCCCCCTCTGGAGGTGCTTGGGTTGCCTCGGGGCGTGAACTACTGGCAGTTGTGAGTGGGGCCCCTTGTGGGGCTTGGCGGCGGCCATGGGTAACTGCCTGGTGGCTGCAATGCCCCTGGGCGGGTCTCGGTGGGGGCCTGGGGGCTCGGGGTTTGGGGGTGGCCGGCCCCGTGTGGGGATCTGGGCGGGGCCTTGGGGGTCGGGTCCTGACATGTATGCTGCCAGGAAGAAGGCAGGAACACGCAGCAGTGCCTGGCCCGGGTTCGGGGGCCTCAGGTAGACCTTGGCTCCTCTGCCGTTCCATCACAGGGGAGGGGGAGGTTCAGGAGGGGGAGGACCCAACCTTACCTGGATGTCCCATGTCTTATATATTCTGGAAGTTGTGCAAATGCAGGGATGGGCATAGATATTCTTCTGGGGTGGGGCTGGGTTGGCGCCCTTGGACTCTGTGAGGCTCTGTAATGCTGCTGCTTTGGGCCCTGGCAGGATGGGCTGGGGTCTCCATGCCCTGGGTGGCGATTTGGCAACAGAGGTGCCTATTGGGGCCAGTAGGGGATCTGGCTCCCTGGAGGGCTAAGCCCAGCCAGCCATTCCTCCCCATCCCCGCATATTTCTCTCCTCCTGCTCCCTCACATCATCACACAAACATACACATAGGACCTTGGGGGTTGGGCAAGTCAGGGAGTGCGGGTATGGACCCCATTTCCACATTCCTGTGGCAACCTGCCCCCAATTTTATTTGCACCTTATACACTTCCACTGACGACATTCCACACAAACACACACTTAGGGCCTTGGGAGTGAGCACATTCAACAGCATTTGGCAGGGGGATATTTCAGCCTCCTCCCGGGTGCCGGTGCCCACTTCCAATTTTAAACCGCACTTAGACACTGATGGCTGAGGGTGTAAGTGGGGTGGTGCGGTGGCACCAGCTGGCATAGGCCGGATGATGCCCGCACTGCCCACTCACCACAGCCATGGAATACACCTCATGATCACACAACACTATATTGGAGCAGGCGGAGGGAGACTAGGGGGTCTTAGCCACCTGTGTTGTTGCTAAGCCTCCTGGGGCTGGAGGCTAGGAGGGAGATCTGGCCGTCTGGTTGGGGTTTGGGGTGGTGGGTTGCTGTGCTCAGCGTTGGGCGGGGGAGCCTGCTCATCAGCACCCCAGCAGAAAGGGTCAAACTCTGGTTACCGGTGATGGTTGTACCCAGTGTGCAGCAGTACCGGGACCAGAGTGAATAGGGTGTGTATGGGGAGCGTGAGTGGGTGTCCAGCGTGCATTTTTGTAAGTCTTGGGTTGTGTGTGCATGTGTGAGCATGAGGGAGGGAGTGTGTGACTGTGTTTGTGTATGATTATATGTCAGGTGGGGCCTTTGACTCCTTCCCTCTCCTGGAACCTCTCTTGACGATATAGATCTTTGTCCCCCCTCCCCCTGCCACACCTGGTGTGAGGGGTTGTGCCATGGTCTGCCTGAGTGTTCGTGGCAACCGGGTCTGGGGGTTTAAGATTTTGGCATCTGCCTGATAGATCCCGGTGGCTGCCTGGTGGGGTCTGGGTCCCTGGGCTCTGCTGGGTCCCCGGCGGGGGTGGTCGCCCCTGGGTCCCGGGTCGCTGGGTCCTGGGCTCGGCCGGCTAGGGGGTGGGAGGCTGCGGGTGGGCCTGTGGGCTTGCCGCTGATGTCTCCCGGGACTCTGCCAGCTGCTGGTTGTGGCCCCCCGGGGCAATCCTCTGTGAATCTCGGGGGGGGGGGGGCTTCCTGGTTGCAGTCTCCTTGGGGTTTCTGTGTTCTGGGGCAGCGCCTGGATCTCTGGGACTTGGAGCTCCCCCCGTCTCCTGCGCATCTTTGGGGGGCAGATCTGTGGTCCCTCACACTCTCTGTTGGACGCTCCTATAGAGAAACCTTACATAAACAAGCGCATGTACACACACAGGTGCTCACATGGTGCTCTCAAAAGTATGGGTTTGGGAACGTTAAACACAGGTCTTAAGACTATGGTGGGCACTTAATGCACTGTGATTTATTATCGTGATTCTGCAGTTAAGCAATGTTGATTATATATTTCCTCATCAAGTTGACGAAGTGATAGCTAGATCTTGTTGTATTGTTGTTGTGTCCCTTTTTTTGTCTTTTTCTGCTGGTCTAGAAGCAGACTCTTGTTCATTTATTTTTGTGGAACACCCCCCCCCCCCCCCCCCTCCTCTCTCCCCACCTTTCCTTTTCCTTTCTCTTTCACCTCTGTCTCCGTGTCTGGTCGGAATTACAAAGCATTCAACAACAATAACAATAAAGTTTTAAGTATCAGGCGTGACATTAAAAGCAAAAGACGCTTTGATGCTCCACCTGAGAGTAAATCTGTAAGGCTTGTCACCAGCATTCAGACATCAATTCTGCTTGCTTCACAGCCAGACAGGACACGGTAAAAAAAAAAAAAAAAAGTTTTTAAATTACCAAGATCTTTCATCTTAAACATTTTTGTTAACATGTCTTTCACTTCTTCAAGTGACTTTGTATCCTTTGATGCAATAAGGAGATCATCTACCCAGATTAATAGATGAATTTGTCCATATTTTGTTTGTTTACTGTAGACACAATGATCTGCTTCATTCTGTATAAAACCGTTTTTACAAAGACAATCATGCAGCATTTTGTTCCAGTTCCGCCCAGACTGCTTTAGACCATATAAGGACTTTTTCAACCGACACACAAGCTTTTTATCCGTGTCAGACTTGATTTCAAAGCCTTCAGGTTGCTCAATGTACATTTCACAGTCAATGGGAGCGTTCAGATACGCTGTTTTTACATCCATCTGATGCAACTCTAAGTCATTCTGTGCTGCAAGCTGCATTAATGTGCGTACAGAAGTCATATCAGCAGTTGGAGAAAATGCTTCTTTGTAGTCTACTCCTGCTTTTATCTATATCCTTTCGCTACATATCTGGCCTTATACGTCTCTGTTGAATCAGCATTTTCTTTGATAGCATAAACCCATCTGCCCCCCACTATGGATTTACCTTCTGGTAGTGTAGTTAAAGTGAACGTGTTGTTTTCTTCTAAGGACTTCACTTCTTCTTGCATTGCACGTACCCACATTTCAGATTGATGAGGTTATAGCCTCCTTGTATGTGTGTGGGATATTGCTTAGCATCCTGTAACAATAATCAACATCAATTGATTCCTTGTCTTCCTCCACTCTACATTCATAATCATTCAGGTACTCTGGACGTTTCCTCTCCCTCTTAGGATAACGTCTACCGTGACTTTCTTCGATCTGAATGTTGTTTTCTGGTTCCGAGGCCTCAATCTCTGTCTCAGGTTTCATTTCAGGGTCTTGTTTAGTCATTGACTCTTTAGATACGGAAGGGATAAGCCTCTCCCCAAATACATCGTCAATGGTTAAAATCTCATCGGTCTGCGTTGAATGTTCAACCACAGTCTCGGTTACAAACTTCACTAACCTGTGCTTCAGTACCTTTCCTGTTTCTGGGTAGTAAACCAAATACGCTGGGCTGTTTCTATCATAGCCAACAAAGATTCCAGTTTCACTTCTGGAGTCCAACTTTTTCTTATCATGCTTGTATGCATGGCAAACTGATCCAAAAGTTCTCATTTTTGACAGGTCAGGTTGGCTTCCTGTTAGCACGTAGTATGGGGTTTGGCCTAGACGCTTGTTAAAGCATCTGTTCTGGATAACTGCAGCATACGTCCACAGCTGTTTGGGCAGGCTACTCTGTAGCAGCATGCATCTCCCCATATCAAATAAAGTTCTCCAACTCCTCTCAGCCGTCCCATTTTGATGGGGTGAATATGGTGCTGAGGTTTCATGTTTTATTGCATGTTTGCCAAGCAATGACTGAAACTCATTGGAAGTGAATTCTGTTCCATTGTCTGACCTCAACCGTTTTATTTTCCCATAAGGAGCAGTGTCAGCAATAAACTTTTCTGTTGCTTTAACAGTACCACTTTTTGCTTTGAGAAAATAAACAAACATTGCGCCTGAATAATCGTCTGTAAACGCTAACGCATATCTGAAACCATCTTTGGCCTCTGGGCTTATAGGGCCAGCTAGGTCTGTGTGCACCAACTCCAGTGCTTCTTTAGCTCTCGCATCAGGCTCTCTGCTTCTAGTCTGAACAAACTTTCCCTGTATGCAGGTTTCACAGTTTAGATTAGATTGATCAGTTTTACCTTTGATTTTCATTCCTTTGGTTACATTCTCTAACTTGCACACGTCATCATAATTGCAATGACCAAGTATCTCATGCCATGTTTGAATATCATAACATCCATAACATTCTTCATTATAGTCATTCTCGCTATTTATAGTGTTCAGATAGTACAGTCTCCCGTATTCTTTAATGTCAAACCTGGTACCGTCTTTGTGGATCAGCTGGTTGCTTCCCTCCTTGAAGTGGACCTCAGCTCCATTGGTGGTCGCAGCTTTGACCGAAAAGATGTCCTGCGGGAACGTGGGGATGTAGAGCGCCCTCTGCAGTGTCGCCGACACAGGACGTCCCTCGCTGTCCCTCAGGCAGACCACGGCCTTGCCTCGTTTGTGTGCGACGCCACTCGTTCGCTTCCCATCAGCCAGCTCCATGAAGTGCTTCTCCGGGAGGAAGGTGTCATCAAAGCTTCTAAACTTCTCGATGTCGGTGATGATGTGGGAAGTTGCTCCTGTGTCGACCATCAGACCTTTCTTTCACTCCGTTCGTGACGCTGTCGCTGATCTTGAAGGCAAATGTGTGACATTCTTCATCAGCTGCGTGTTTTGCGTCATCTCTCCATTTCCGTCTGCAGTTCGAGTCTCTGTGGGTGGGGCTCCGGCAAAATGTGCACCACTGTTTCTGCTGGCCGCATTCTCGTGCTTTATGCCCCGTCTGGCCACAGGTGTAGCATCTTAACAGAGTAAAGTCTCTTTTTCCCCTCATCCTCATACTCGAATCTCCAGCTTTCATAACAGCATCATCGTTGCAGGAGGAATTCAATTTTTCAGTGCTCTCATAACTTCTTAACTTCGTTTTAAATGCACTGAATGTTATCTTGTCATCACTTTGTGTTATATGAATGGCAAATGGCTTAAATGCTTCTGGTAACCCTTTCAGAACCATTGCGAT